TATAAGTGGACATGGCGTAGACCCGTCTGACTTTAGTTTCATTGATATAATTGAATTAAATATCAAATTAATTAAGTTGATAAAGAAAAGTAGACAATAGGTATAGAAAGGATCCACTTAGGATCTATCTAATTAAGTAGGAATAAGGACTTTATAAGGCAAGTGGCCTAACGAAGTCAATCAAACTCATATTTGGACTATGAGCCAACACGTCAATAATTGCAACATGCAGAAACTATAAGAACAAATGCTAATTTTTGGGATTTTAAAATACACTATTTATGTATAACTCATGATGACTTCATAAGTCAAGTCATTCGATGGATTCATAACAAAATTGGAGAGTTCGAGTCGTGTGAGTTAAAGCTATACTTTGTGCTGAGAAAATTGATCTATCAATGAAAGATATATGAAAGATAATGAGACGCTCCGCGAAGAGATTTTCAAATTGTTTGCGCCTTCTTTTAATTTTGGTATTCGAACACACAATGTGCATTCTATTATCTCCATCGTATCATATCATATGACACCATAGCAGTCTTCCTGTTCAAATTACAGGATAAAAAAATCCAAGGTCCTCGGGTTGGACACCCTGAATGATGACTACTTATCAATTTTATGACATTCATACCTTGATTGATCCAATTATTCGTATTTGAAGTTCATGATGATGATTTTCTTACTGTCCTTAGAAAGAGGCACTTGACAAATATCGAGACTGGTTGGAGCTTGCCTATGATGAAAAAATCTCCTCTTGAATATACAACATAAACAATGTCGTCATACTAATGTACAATACAAACAACTATTTAATATTTATAGTATGAGTATGCATTTTTGTATAAGAAAGTATGTTAATTTTACAATCATTCGGGCTTTGTACTTGTTGACATCAGACACGCTTTCATAATCTTAATATCCTAGATACATTTAATATTTACTATTCATCTAAAGTACAAAGTTACAAAGTGAAAAATGCATTTTTATTTTCTATACTTGTTTAATTATACTACGAAATGATATTAAAAAATATTCATTTATACAAATATATCATTAGACCCTTACTATAATATAAAATAATTTATATTTAATTTAAAATAAATAATAAGTGAATAAAAAAATAACTATTACTTTAGGCTCGTTAAAGTAGCCAAAACTATAAAATTGATTGGAGGAGTTGGGAAAAAAAATGAATAGGCATATAAAATTAAGTTCTAGTAATGAAAAACAAAACTTAAAAACATAAAATCCAGTGGCAACTGGCGGTGCAGCGACTGCTGCAGGAAGGTGGTTGTTTTCACCAATAAGATTACAACATGTGTTAATTTTGAATTTGGAATTAAATGACAACATGTGAGAATTGAAAGGAGGTGAGACATAAAGACGTCGATGAATTGTATGTTCACCTTAATACGCGGTACTTTGTTTTTATTGTTGATAAGCAATTTTTATCATGAGATTATTGATGATATTTCTTCCCTTGGTCTTGTTTTCCTTTTTTT